CTTAACATTTAAAAATAAATAAATAAAATATTCACCTATATTAATATAAAAAACAAAATATCATCTTGCCTGTGATAATAGTATATTTTCATTAAAATGCAGCATTCAATAAATCCTTTTTCCAGTCCTAATTTGATATTGTCTATGTTCTTCATCTGTTTTCTATTAAATATGCCATATCAGCAAATAATGCACCTCAATTAATTTTGATGTTCTATCTTCTGACCTTCACCATTGCAGGAGAAGAACTGGCAGAACTTGGGACAGACTTAAAATGTGATCAGTCTAGAATCCCTGCCTAGCCACAAGAAAACTAAGTCTAACCTCCCTTGAATCCTGTTGGCCTTTAGCTAATTAACCATTAGTTGAATAGATTCCTATACATAAGCATGATTACCAAGAAATCAGTTTAATTGAACCTTCATGTGTGGACCTGAACTTTCTCATCTGACAACCATAGCTATTAGGGTGACTTTGGATAAACAACAGTTGATATGTAGTACATATCTTGAACCTCCCTACCAACACATTTATTTCAGAGGAATAACCTACAGTCAAACTGAAAAGAGATAGAATATATAACCAATTAGAACTTCTCATTTTGTAGGATTTCAAATATATTACAAAGAAAAATATATTACATACCATTGGATATATTTGAGTATAAGTTCACAAGAAAAGTCTAACATAGCACAGTACTGCAGACAGAATGGTTTTAAAAAGGAGGAAAACAGTGAGACCACAATCTAACCACAATTAAATGCAGTTTAATTGATTTCAATCTGTACTTATATCAGGGACAGATAAAAGCAGACCTTCATCACCACATCTGGCCCCAAACCTCTATATTGCCTTTGAGTTCTCTTCAGCCACAACTGTCCAAAATAAGCTGCACATCTTCCCCCCATTTTGCATCAGAAATGCACAAAATTTGTAGCGTACCTTCTAAAATACATGCAATGTCTTTAAAAAAGAAATCTCTTCCCCACAAGATAAAGGGGAATCAGAAAATCCAGGCTCCAAACACATGCGTAACACAGCCTTCTCACTTTGCATCATCACATCACTTACTGCAACTCTTTTTTCCTCACCACCAGCACCCAAATGTTAAATATAACTTTTCTTCAAATGAGTATTCCATGATCAGTCTCTCAGAGATTATAACTGTACCACATGGAGTAAATACAATATTATCACCAGTTCTTATATCATTCTAATGCAAGATAAACATAGGACCCACATCACCCTCCAGATATGCTTAAACTGCAACCATCCATCTTCCCTTGGCCATGTCTGCGCAGGCTGCTAGAAGCCAATTCTATTAAGAAAAAGTATATAGATGGTGGATTGTCCATCCCTACTATATGGACAACAGTAATCAGAAATTAACTATATGACTTGTTCTTATCCTGTCACCACTTCATTTGGATAGAACCATCCGGTTCACAAAGCAATGTGTATTTGTATGTTTGTATGTTTCTTAATACTGGAAGTTTTAAAGGAAGGGAAATAGTCCTCAAAACATGCATCTTACAGCAGAAGATCCAGACATAAACTAATTCAGCCCTAACTTTCTACCTTTGATGCAGCTCTTACCTCATAGGACACGACCTGCTGCAAAATGGAACTGGTGAAACCATCATAGCAAGAGATTCCAGAACCTTTTTGATGTATTCCTAACTAACTCAAGCTTGAGAGATGGTAATAGTTATCTAAGTTACTGAACCATTTTAAACAGGAAGAGGAATGTGTAGCATAGTCGTCTTATATGCAGAAATCATCTCTCAATATGTTTGACAGATCACTTGCTTGAAAGTTTTTTACTAATTGAAAAATGTGGCTGCATTGAAAAGTGATTGGGATGTGGCAGGATTCAATTAACTCCTCCATTTATACCAGAATTCTTGTTCTAATTGGAGCAATAGTTTCAGCTCATTTCCTTGGCTAGTAATATAAATATTTAACTTTCTTGCACCTTTTGTTCCTCTATTTTCCTTATCTGACACAAACAAAAGAACAAAGGACAAAAACAAAAAAATATTATTCCTAAAGCAAAAAGTAGTTGTTAAGCCTCCATTTCGGAAGGACACCTCCCAGTCACAATTTTTCCTATATTCTTACAAACCACTTGCATTTTAGAAGCTGACCACCAAGAAAGGAAACTGTAATTTTAAGCACAACATTCTGTCTTGTATCTTTCTTCATATCAAGACAAAATAAGTTGTACTAGAAAAACAGTTTTTTAAAAAACTGAAAGTGAACCTAAAGCAGTTTATGCATTGAATTTCAAATCAGGAATATTTAGAATAGGTCACTAAAACTAGAATTAAAGGGTATCTATTTTAATAAATATACATTAAGTAAATCTAGCTGCAATCCACCATTTACTGAATGGGGCCATTCCCTTACTGTAATCAAATAAGTTCATAAAGCATTAAATGAGTTTTTAAAACATTGCAAGAATGGGGAAATTTGGGGGGGGGAGATTTGCTGACATTTTCTAACCCCTTAAAGGTCTCCCTCAAGAATTTATGAGAGATAAGAATAGACCTATGTCCAAAACTGCACATCAAACTGCCACCATTTCCCAGAGGTTCCATACTGTATTTTAAAACAAGAATAAACAAGTATGGCACGCCAACTGTTCCTTTTTTGGGATTTGATGAAGGCCAACTTGAGATAGCCACATGTTCTGAGGGCTTCCTTGATGTTTTAGTTCAGTGGTTCTCAACCTGTGGGTCGGGACCCCATTTGGGGTCGAACGACCATTTCACGGGGGTCGCCAAACAATGCAGTCCGCCATTTTTCCCCCTTTTCCTTAGCTGTGCTACTCCCTTTTATTCTATTGGCTTTTGAAAGCCAATAGAACAGACTCTCTTGAATAGAGTCTAATTCTATTGGCTTTCAAAAACCAATAGGAATTGTCCAGGCTGTCTCTGCCCTGCTGAGCCCGCCAAAAGTCCCATTCTGCAAACAGTGCTGCACCAGTTGAGTAATCCTTGACTTACGACCGATTGAGTAGTCCTCGACTTACGACCGATTGGGGGTCGCAGCATTAAAAAGGTTGAGAACCACTGTTTTAGTTCTTTTTCTTTCCCATCTTTGCTAGTAGGCAGACCTTCAACTCTGTGGTGTAGGGTTCTGATAACTCCCATTTAGTGCTCCAGTGGATGGTGAGAATCAAAATGTAAATATTGATCTATCTGTGTGGGTTTTTTGTAAACTTCAATTCCATATATTGCAGGAATATCAGAAAAGCTCAGGAGGACTTTTAGCCAACACAACATATGTACATACTCCAAACCCACAAATACACTAAGGCAGAAGCTTGTCCACCGCAAGGATAAAACACCCAGACACAAACTGAGCAATGTGGTATATGCAGTACAGTGCAGTGAGTCATGTGCAGATCTGTACATTGGGAAAATAAAACAACCACTTCATAAACACATGGCACAACATAGGAGAACAAACCCATCAGGACAAGATTTGGAAGTCCATCTGCATTTAAAAGACAAAGGCCACTCTTTCAAAGACAGAAAAGTCCACATTTTGGACAGAGAGGACCACTGGTTTGAAAGACGAGTCAAAGAGACCATCTATGTCAAAACTGAACAGCCCTCTCTCAACAGAGGGGGGGATATGACATCTATCTCCAAGTCTACAAAACAATCCTTTCAGCAGTACCAAGAAGGCTCCACACCCATTTGCACTACTCAGTTGACCCTGATGACACAGATAAACCTCCAGGTGGCCTCAATGACTCTCTAAAAGAATGCAAATGACCAGCTGCAAGGAGTATAAATCCTTCCATTCCCTACCATCCAGTCAGAGTTGACGAAGTTTCTTGGATGAGAAGTGAAACATCTTCAAAGAAAAACAAGAAAGCCCAGTTGCTTCATGAAAAAACTCCTTTGGGATCAATCAAATGTAATAAATATTTCAAAATATAATAGGTCAAACAAAACGTAAGTGTGTTATAAGACTAGTTATGCTACAAAGAAGTTACAATGTCCAAGAATTTGCCTATTAAGAAAACATATGCATACAAAGAGATTTTGAAGACACAAAAGAGCAAGTAAGCACAAGTCCATTTCACTTGTGCTAAGCATGTTTTATACTTTGGCAAATATTCCCAAAATATCTGATCTGAAGATATATAGAAACCATAGAAGTCCATTACATAATCTGAAAATCCCATAAATATACCAATGGTTCTTGAATTGATTTAGAGGAGATTCAGTTCTAAAACCAGAATCAAATTATGAGAGATAAATATTATTGAAAACAGGTTCATAACAAGATAATGTGTTCATCAAACTTTCCATAAATATAATTTCCATTATTCCTATCCTAGGGTGAATTCGGTTCCACTTTAAGTGAATTGAGCATGAACTAGAGCATGAATTTAGAGCAAATCAATATACTGTAATAGGCGGAGACGGTGAATCTCCCATGAAACTATGCACTAAAGTAGATTAGTTCTTTATGATAAAGGGAAATGATTGATTGCACTGAAATTAATTAATTCCATCTGTATTCAGAATGGAGAAATATCTGCTATCTTACTGTTGTTCTACAATTACATACCATAAACACTTCTCTAGTTTGCATTGGCATTGCATGCAGAAAACATTTGCTGATAGTTTCCATAGCTCTCTCTTCCTCAACCTGGTGCTCTACAGGTTAGTTGGATTTCAACTCCCACGAGTTTAACTTTGCTTTATCCAAGGCATCCAAAGAATTAAAATTTTGAAAGGGTTTTCATCATGCTACATGAAAAGTTCCATTAAAGCCTTACATGATAATTCACAGAGAAAAAATGCCATGACTTCTGACTTCTCTATTACCAACTTTAAAATTGCAATTAACCATACATACAGTATTTCTATGTGACATATGGGCGTACCATATTTAGGCTGCAAATTCAGGTTACTAAATGGCAACAGAGTTTTCTGTGCCTCTTTACTGTCATCTAATGGCATCCAGATTTTTACAGCTCAAATGTGGCAGTCCTATGTATACCTGTGTGCAAGACTGTAGATACATTTAATGTTATGCTTTTATTATAGTCTTGGCACAAAGAGGTACTGGGGCTTTTGCAAAGACATAGGAAAGTCAGGTAAATGTATCTGTTCTTAAGTATATTCAAAATATAATTTACACCAAATAAATGAATGGTGAAAGGTAATATGCCAACAGTTAAGAGTGAGTGTTCAATAGAAAATATCAACATTAGGAGCAAAGTTTGAAAATATGAACTCACAAATTAAATATATCTTATAAATTGATTAAAAAAATAACAAAATATTCAATTACTAATTGCTTTAAAAAACAAATACATTTGAGGGCAAAAGATTGGATGACTGTATGCTGTTGAGAAGCAAAGATTCCATCAGTGAAATGTTGGTATCAAATGCAAACAGTTATAGAAGGAGATGAATATTTCTCCCCAGATCATGCACCAAATTAATGAGTTGGTTAAATAAATTTACACGCGAGTGAGAAACATAGGCATAATAATCCCAGCCAGTTTGGTAATACAATTTCAGTTGATTTCCCTTTTTCTCTATGACGGATATTACAGATTTTACTCATTTGAAAACTCCAATGAAGGTGCATTTAATGTGCCTAAAACTGGATTTATTTCTATGCATTTATACAATTCACACACTGAATTTATCCACCTATATATGACATTTTCTTGATTGTTGCTCCTTATTTTAAAACAATTTGCCAAATAATAACACTAATTAAAATTATAATAATTAAAACAGGCAGTTGAGCTTAGTTCCCAGAAATATGGGACATAAACCAGATCAAAATAATGGCAATTCCCTTTATATAAGCAATTCATATTTCTTCACCATACCATAGAAAAACCAGACTATCTAATTTTGGCAATAAATGATCATTCTTAAGTCTGAGCACCAAGGACCAGGTAACAGTTTCTATAGAGTAGGTTACCAACAGAATAAGAATGTGTTGCTATTTTTCACTTTTAATCTAAAATATTTATAGTATTGCACTTTACTGCACTCAATTGCATTTCACTAAATGTAACACTGCATCAGTATTATGCTTTTAAAACTGCATGTCCATCTTTGATAGCTGAATCAATCTCTTAAGAGCAAGCCAAAGAGATTTTTTTTTCTGAGAAATCCAAACATCTGGAAAGCAAAGCAAGGAAGTCAACCTGTCCTTGTCTTACAAGCATATCTGCTTGTTCAGATGGTTAATTATTATTCTGTTCATTATCATTGTTAGATGATCACCTCTTAGATCACCTCTGATTTTTGTGTAATTTTGTCTCTCAAACGTTTGTGTTGTTGCAGCTCCTTGTAAAATATACAGCTATGTCCAGATTAAACTACCTTATCTGTGATTTGAAATTCCATGTTTTAAATTAGTTCATGAGCAGTTTATGAAATAGCTAGAGTATACTTGGCAACTAAGGAGAAATGTCATGGTAATGGAGACCAGCCCCTGGAATTGTTTCAAGCTTGGGTTTTGTTTCAGTAGAGTCTGTGATTTCCAAATGGTGTTAGATGTTAGGTACATGCACAACTTTCAAAACTGATAGCAGTGAACAGTTTTAGGCTGACACAATGATCACTTTGGCCATGGTCAAGTACCAATTGTTCCAACATTCAAAGATGCCACATAATTTGAAGAATTATCTCTCCAAAGTATTCTTGTTTATTTTTCTTTTGTAAAGTTGTTATTTTTACCTAAAATTCAGACCCAGTGTGCATCTGGTGGGAGTGAAAAAGTTTGACTGCAATTAGCAGCACTAAGCACTTGGCCAAAATCAAAAGGTAGACAGGTGGGTCCTTAAATCCTCAGATCAACTGAATCACTTCTTACATCTTGGAACAAAATAGGAAGATGAAGAAGAAGAGAAAGAAGAAAGGAAGAAAAAGCAGGCCAGTGCTGATTGTGCATCTATAAGGACTCCCAAGCTTTTCAAAATCTAGCACTTGTCCTTGTCTCAGCCAAGCATGGATGGCAGCTGGAGAAAACGAAATTATTGTCCATCCTGCCAATGAAACTGCTTCCAGAAAGGAAATGTCAAAGCCCCAGGGCCTCAGCATGTTTCCGGGCCTTGAGCCTCAAGTCAGCGATACTGGAATTCTTGCTGTTGCTCTTGGCAGCTGCAGCCACAACTGCAGCTGCAGAGGCAGAATCAGCCAAGGAGGCGATTGGGAGTCCAAAGGGAGGGGGAGGAAACATCAAATAAGGGGCGTGAGCAGCTAGGTGAGGATGGAGGTGAGGGTGAGCATGGGTGACCCCCTCCAACTGCAACTGAGCTTGGACCTGGAGGGGAAATAAAAGAACCATAAAGAAAATAGATTAACAGGAGATATTCCAACAGATATTCCAGTAGGAGAAATGGGCGTGTCAGTCCTACCAGACCAAGAAAACAATTCCACAAGGAGAATATACTTTATTGAGATGGGCATGATAATAGAATATTGCAAGTTTGTTTATGTCATCCCCCTCTTTCTCATGCCCCAGTGAATCAGAGTGGCATATGCTTGGTCTTGCTTCTCAGGGTTTCCACCCTCTTTCAGCTCTTTGTCTAGGTCAGTGGTTCTCAACCTTTTTAATGCCGCGACCCCCAACCGGTCATAAGTCAAGGACTACTCAACCGGTCGTAAGTCAAGGACTACTCAACTGGTGCAGCACCATTTGCAGAATGGGACTTTTGGCGGGCTCAGCAGGGCAGAGACAGCCTGGACAATTCCTATTGTCTTTTGAAAGCCAATAGAATTAGACTCTATTCAAGAGAGTCTATTCTATTGGCTTTCAAAAGCCAATAGAATAAAAGGGAGTAGCACAGCTAAGGAAAGGGGGGGAAAATGGTGGACTGCGTTGTTTGGCGACCCCCATGAAATAGTCGTTCAACCCCAAATGGGGTCCCGACCCACAGGTTGAGAACCACTGGTCTAGGTAATGGTTCTTGCACATTTTTGTCAAGGTCATCTCCCTTACTCTTTACCAGGCATTACTCTTTGGCTTTGTAAATGATTACTTATTTAAGTAATTGTAATTCTTTGAAGGTTGAGTATTTACCATTTATCTCTCTGGGGCACACAAGTATGAAATAAATAGTTGAGAAAAAAATTCTATGGCTGAGTAAGAACTCTACAACATTTTAATTAACTTCATGTGATACTTAGTATCATCTAAGTAATTCCTATTGATCCATTCTTGCACTTTGGAAATAGTTAACTCTTCAGCTTGAAGTGCTTGAAGGAGAAAGGAAGACAGAGATGGAATTGGGTAGCACAAAAAGAGGCAGAGGGAAGTAATGATGCAAGATTCACTCACACTAAAAAATGGGTTCATCCTCTCCTTCATCTAGATCCGTCTTCTATTAAAATCTGGCTCCACCCATCATAAACTCAGGTCATCTTCCAATATTTCAAGAGCCCTTTATTGAAAAAAGTTTTCCATTTCTGCTTTAAAAATCAAGAGTTGCTAGGTATGGTTTTGAAATAAGAGTTTCTTCCTGTCAAATTGTGGTAATTTACACATAGGGAGACTATCCTATAACTCTTAATTGGATGTGAGACAGCCCCAAGATCATACTAATTTTGATGGTGTTTATAGTGATTTTCCATAAAATAAAATGGGTATGTTAAATCTTGTCCCTTAAACCACTCCTACAAAACAGGCTGAAAGGTTTAACACCACCCTCCCCCAGGTATCACAGCTGCAATCCACATCTTTTAAAAATAGAGCATGGTCTACAGACAAAAAAAATGCCACATTTTTTAAATGACCAGGATATTCGTAAACCAACACCCTACCGCAGTAACGCTATTAGTCTTTTTGATTTCCATTTTTGTTTTTAACACTAATATTCAAAAATAGATAAACAGGTACTCACAGATTAAAAATAAAAAACTCATAATCAAGATGCATTTATGTTTTCTTATAACCCAGAATTTAATCTACCATTGCATAATGCCACTGTGTGAATATACCACTCAAACTGACAGCATTCTCTTATTAACCTATTTATATTAGTTACTAAGAGAGTCCTTTTTTGGAACTATTGTGAACTAGCTTTTCCAGATAGAACCTCTCATCCCTCCTATTCCCTCCCCCATGCCACATTCCTGCCCAGGGTCTGGCCTTTGTTGTGGTTGGACAGATTCTTAAGGATTTACCAGTCAAAAGATAGTGTGCATCTTATGATAAAACTAGGTTTACTTCAGCAGAAATATAATGATGAATTTGACCTCAATTCAAAATCTCTCCTTGCCTCACTTAATGAAAGCATGATGCCTCAGGTATAGCATGTTGGGTTTTTTAAACAATAAAAACTTTAATAATAATTTCATAAAGACAGCCAGGATGAGATATAGAATATTTAGAAGTGGGGTATTTATGGGTTGTTTATCACAAGAGCGCTTTTTCTGTTTCTTTTAATATATTGATTGTGTCCCTTTCCTTTCTGTATTTTTATTCTCTAATCTGTTCTACATTCTCCCCAGATTCTTAGCCTCTTCTTAGCCTCTGCCTCTTTTTCCTATAAAGAAGCATCTTTACATTCAAGTAAAAGCAAGCATTGATCATTTCAAGACATCTTTCCTTCTCTTTCAGCTTAGCATTGTTATCATTCTGGGACACAGGATTCAAACATAAGAACTTACTTCACTTTAAATATATAAAACAATTCTTTTTTCCCTTTACTGTCTTTATAAAATATCTACAATCTCATCTTTTTCTTTTCAATTATGCATTTTCTGTTACGTTACATTAAACCATGAGCCATGGTGGTATAGTGGTTAGAATGCAGTACTGCAGGCTACTTCTGCTGATTACTGGCTGCCAGCAGTTCAGCAGTTCAATTCTCACTGACTCAAGGTTGACTCAGCCTTCCATCCTTCCAATATCAAAAAAATGAGGACCCAGATTGTTGGGGGCAATATGCTGACTCTGTAAACTGCTTAGAGAGTGAAGTGGTATATAAGTCTAAGTACTAAGTGCTATTCCTAACAGTTTTGTTTTTTTTAACTTTATCATCTTTGCAACCTTACTTCCACAAATGATATGGTTTAGACTGGTTTACTGATTTTTGGTATGTGTTAAATTTCTTCCTTTGATTTCCTCTTTTCCTAATAAGATGGGAAATGTCTGCAACTCCAGCAACTCTTTGCTCAATAGGAATAGTTGAAATTATATCACTTTCCGTCCACTGTGAACAGCTAAAACATCCAGCACCAGACTTGCTTTCAGATTCAGTTGAATCCTCCTTCAATTGTTGAGTTCCACTGATTTCTCTACCTTTTCACCATTAATTTCTTCCTCTTTTCATATGTTACTAGCAACCTCAACACTGTTTTTCAGTTTCTATTTCAGGTGACCGCTCAGTATCATTGGAGTAAGAATTTATTTCATTGTTTTTCTTGCACAGCATTAGCACTTAGACTTATATACTGCTCCATAGTGCTTTATAGCACTCTCTGAGTGGTTTACAAATCTCAGCATGTTGCCCCCAACAATCTGGGTCCTCATTTTACTGACCTCAGAAGGATGGAGTGCTGAGTCAATCTTGAGCTGGTCAGGATCGAACTGCTGGCAGTGAACAAAGTCAGCTTGCAATACTGCATTCTAACCACAGTGCTACCTTGAGTCCAAGGATTTATGCAATATTTTTGCAAATCCATTACTGCCACTTCTATAATATTTTTCCTTTTTCTGAGAAAAAGTTGCTGTAGCTGTTTTTCCTGCTTTGCCTCTCATTACACCTCTTAACAACTGTCCCCAGTGACCTTTTTTCTAGTACTACATCTGAAGCTTTTACAAATGTCTCTCCTTAATTTTCTGCTATTGCATCTTCATGCTTTTCAACAGCCAAAAGTGCAGCTCTTCTGCATTCTCTTCTATCTTCTCCAAACTTCTTCACTCTTCTATTACTTCTATTACTTCTCTTTTAAAGAGACTTGTGTTTATACAGTGTTGTCCCCAATGCTTCCTGCTGCCTCTTCTGCTATTATGCATTTCCCCTTCCACACTCTTTACAGCCCTTTCTTCTGAGTGATGGCAAGGGATACTCCTAGTACAAACATGATACTTCTAGTACAAACATGAACCTTTATCTAATAAAGAACATGAATTAATGTTCCATTGCACCTATTTCAAATCATAATACATCTACTTTATTAACATTCTGGTCACTGGTAATTAATAAGGATCTTTGCTTCCAAGCCCTTGTAAAGTTACATATTGGTGAGGAATAATATTTATTCCATCCATTAGTTCTAATTTTATAACAGCCAAGGAAGCATCATGGTCTACCATTGTCAAAAAAAGAAGATTTTCTTACCATAACTCAAACTCACAGGCTCTCTTAATTTATAATCAAGCTCATCAGACCAAAACAGATTTCTTTCTTGTATACAGTTTTTTCAGAGTGGACTAAAAATAACTCTGCCAAAATTGACTAGAAACTCCTCTTTATTTAGTACTTCCAATTACTGATTTTGGCGTCCTTTCTTTTATTTTTAATCTTTAACTCATGGGAAATAAAATTAGTCCACATGTATTAATTCCATCCTTTTTTCTGGATTGTTAATCTCAGGCCATCTACATTCCTTTAGAAATGTACCAACTATACTATTCTCCTGAAAAATATTTATATCCTATTTCACAGGCAATTTAACTCATACTATTCTTAAGTTTCTTGCAGTCCAAAATAAGTGTATTGTTTTCATACCAAGGGCAGGCTAAAGAGATAGTAGACTCACAGTACAACAGATATTCTTGCAGTTGAAAACAAATGCTGTAACAGAGAATGATGAACGTATCAAAATGGAATGGTTCAGAACAGCTAGATACATAGAATTGTGATTTTCAGCTGCTCTAACAAGGCTATGGATGGCTGGTAACCACATCTAATGGAGGATTTCCCAGGTGGATGATCCCTATAGGTAATACTGGATCTCTTGGGATATAGTAGGGCAATCAACATCAAGCACTGGAGGATAGAATATAAAGAGTTGAGTGATATATACAAGGCACTAGGGGCAAAACTCCACAAGAGTTCTCTGGCTTTTGGTATAAAGATCTAAACAAATTCCTGAAAAAAAATCAGGTCCCTTAACTAACATCTTTATACAGTTTGTTTAAAAGCTGTATATGGAACAACTTGTTCTTCAGGAAAATTATTGTGGAACTCATTGGACCTGCTTTAGTGAAACTGGAAATGAATTTCACAAAGTCTTCTGCTCTCAAATTCTACTTTTCAGCAACTGACACAAAAATGGGCAGATCTTCTCCTGGAAAATCACAGTCACAGTCCTTAGGAGTAAAATGTATTTCAGCTTTAACCTGCAACATTTCTTTTTCATGCTGACTGCAAGACTTTTTCATCTCAATTCTATTATCCTATTTTGCCCCCTAAAATCTAAAATACAAGATACTATGCTGAGTTGGAGTTTCATTTTCTTTTTTAATCAGTAACAGTCTCCTTTTTCCACAGTCTCCCTCTTGCTGAATATTCCAATCCCTGCATTCCTTTGGTTTGCTCCAAAGATCCAGTATCTGGCAGTCATTTCTGCTTACATCATTTATTTTTCTTTCTTTTTTCCTGTGTAGTTATCTACTATATATTTCTTCTCCTCTCCTCCCCCTGCTTTTTCCCCTCATTCCCTTTTAATTTTGATTCTGGTCTTATTTTCCTTCAGGCAAATTCTTCTTTCTGGAATTTGTATTGCACTACTTAGCTATCACATGTGCCAAAACCAGATTTATTTACCTAGGAGTTTATTTGGGGAATAAAAATGTAGAGGATAAGGAAGATGACCTTGATAAAAGTACAGTATAGGTAGTTCTTGATTTATGAACATCACTGAACCCAGAACTACAGTCGTAGGTCATGCTGGTTAAGCAGTCATCAAGTGACCAACCCAATTTTAGAACATTTTTCTGTGTCAGTCCTTAAGCAAATCAACAGAATTGTTAAGCAAACCCATTGTCCACAATGGAATTTTTTGTGGAAACCAGTAGACGCCAGTCATAAATTGCAGTGACATGACTATGGGATCCTGCAAAAAGCTGTAAATGGAGGTCAGTTGCCAAGCACCCAGGGAAAATGAAGGAATAATTACATGCTGCTTTAGAATCATTTGGCTTCTCTATGCCTCCTATGCAACCTCCTGCTCTAATTGTCGGTGATCAATGTGGCTCTTTTTTACAATGTTGACTCCAAATTCTCTTAGCTTTCTACCATTACATATAAAAATTTATTGATCACATGCATTCCACTAAAGCACATTCCTTCATTTTCCCTTTAATAGGTTTTCTCTCAAAAGAGAAATGATATAGGATCTGATATGAAAATATAAAAATTATAAATACCATGCAAGGGAGTCTAGAGACAGTCCTAAAATTCCACAAAAAAATTCACAAATAAAGCTGGACAATGGTTCTGTAACAGCTTATTCAGACTGCCACTTTTCCCTGAAAGACTTTTACAAAATAGCTAAGAAAAAATGTTTCTTGGAAAAAAGAGGAAGACTAAATTTTTTCTCACAACTCCTCTGATGAATTAAAGTAGGAAAAACACAGATAGGCTTATTTCATTCACCCACTAAATTCCTTACTCCAAAAAGCCAAAAATGATGGTACTTTTTTAATTTTAAAAAAGAAGTTAAATAATAGCTTCAAAAGAAGCCCAGCAGAACTGATGTTATTACTTAGGCTTTTTAACATACAACAAAATCTTATGCAAAAAATAAACTCAATAGCAGTGTTACACATAAGTTTCTTTTTAATGTTATGAATATACTTGATTTTAGATAATCATCTAACCTAGAAAATATTGACATTAAGAAGAAAGAAAAATAGTAGAAGGGGATGGGAAGGAAAAACGTTAGCACTCAAGAATACAGGATCCATGTTCAAATGCTAACATAGCTGCCTCTGTCCCCATTAGTTTTGTTTTTCCTTGTCATGAGCAAAACTGCCTTCTTTGTGCTATTTGAAATCAAGTTGTTCCATGTTCAACCTTAACAGAGGCTACATCTGTAATAATTGTGAAAGTATTAAAGATATAGATAACATCCTGTGATAGGGTAGTATAACACTATGTTAAAGTCCTTTCCTCTCAGTTATTATTGACACAAAAATCCTCCAATGCTTCCCCTGTGTTATGCTGCCCTTATCTTGTTCTACATTTTAAATGGCTTTATAGCACCTTTGAATTCTGGGAAATAACCAAAAATTCCTGATTAATCTGCCAACTTTGTTCTATTTCCTGCACAGAGATATGTGTGTGTACAATGTAGCCTTCATCAGTCATTGACAGATTTCACGGGGGGGGGGTGCCTAAATTTTCAGACGAGGAGCACAAAACACAGGCTGCTACTACTGATTAGCCAATCAGCAACTCACAGTGTGCTTCCTTTCCAACCAGCAGTATATAACAGGCTATACCACTAAGCTTTGATGCTACAAGAATTTAGCTCTGCTAAAGATCCATTGTACATCATGTAAAAAAGTTTTCTTTGAGTTGAATTTGACTGAGCTTGACTTCACCAGTACATCCTACCCCTGTAGTTTGCCATTTCCTTTTTCTGGATTTTTTTTTTTTTTTCAATTTCAACTTCCTAATCCTTGTATTTCCTGGAGCTCTCCAATTTAAGTACTAACCAGACTCAAAGCTGCTTATTCTTCATATCTAAAGAAAACCAGCCCTACTGAAGAAATATAGTGTGTGGATTTGGACAGAAAGAAAAAAACCAAATCCTATTTTCCACTCACTCAGACTACATGCTAAGGATGTATCCCACACAGCTGGAAAGATTTCTCACTTTGCATTCACTGCAATAACTTGTTTTGGATGTGTGCCTTTTCAAAGTGCTCAAAAAGCTGAAATTCAGCCAATGCACTTCAGCAACATCTTCTTTTGGCTGGAGTTTTACCTATTAGCAAGTATTTTGGAATCAAACTGAGATGCTGGTCACAATCAATAGGTATATAGTTTTATTTTATTTTATTCTTATTTATTTATATGTCAAATTTAGAGACCGCCCATCTCATTCACAGAGCGACTATGTTACAAGAGTATGGCAAAGATTTAAGCCTGCTTATTAGAATTCTACAGAATATTGAAGGGACGACTTTTAAATAAACCTACTCTGCTAAAACTTTTTGGAATTCTATTTTCAAGGCCAGGGAGCCAAGGCACCAGGAACTATTGGTAATGAAAACCCTTCTGTGTACAGATATACAGAATATGTCCTTCTATCGCACATTTCTTCTCTCCCTCTGTCCAAATGCTAACTTAACAGCTATCTTAGATAGGTCAGCCTGGAGATGAAAATTCAGATAAACTACCTGCTGGAAAGGCATCCTTAGGGCTCCCATGTTCACGTAGGGGGCCACTCGGCAGGCATCTAAATGGCTGGCTGTCCCCAAGATCACACCTGCAAGCAAAGGTATAGAGTCAGGAAAGAGTCTTCAGAAAGGTCAGATCCTGTCCCCACTTCCTTCCAGGACCTACCTTTATGCATCTGGTTCTCCTGTTTTCGGCATTTGGCTCTTCTGTTCTGGAACCAAACCTGCCAAGAGGAGAAGAGATGCTGGCAGTAGTAAAAGCAGTCAGCAGCAGCCTTGAGTTAAGGGATATTAGCCTATGACTCCCCAAACTTTCTTAAAAGCTAGAAAGATGGGGAAAAATGTGGTTACAGAAATGCTGGTATGAGAAGGAAGATCTGAAATTGTTCTTGGTTGTGATAAGCAGGTGAGGACAAATGTCTCAGGTAACTTTTGTTCAGTTCTAATACTCAGAATAAGTTCCTGAGCAGAGAATCTTTTCATTTCAGTTTGTTTGCTTGATATCAAGAGATGGTTTTTAGAAAAGCCATACACAATAATGCTCACAGGATAAAAACCTATTCTTCATGGCTAAATTAAGAAAAAATTGGTAATAGAATACTGGTATAATACAATCCCTTGAGGTTCTACTCATGATTAAATGCCACTGGGTTCAAGCAACATTTCAACAGATTATAATTTTAAAATTTAATGGGATCTTGACTCCCCTCCATTTTTCCCACCTTACTCAGTTGTGGATCTGCCTTTCCCAATCTCCTGTTTTCCATATGTGTTAAAATGTTTCACCCTTCAGCTGCAAATGACAATAGCCAGGGCTGGGTCACTGGGAATGTTGGAAGTTATAGTCCAACCATCAGAATGGCATCTGAGTGGGAAAAACTGCCAGCATAATGCAGATTAAGGGGATGTGCTTCAAACCATCCAGATGTGACCTTTTTTTGTAAGAGTTGGAAGGATGCAGGACATTCACTGCATAAAGTTATTTGCATCCACACACCTACTTAACTGTCCCAGTTCTATGCTAAAATGGGCTGTATATGTCTTGCCCACCTTCTTAACTAGCATTCTGAGTCTTAATAACCCTATGACTACTAAAGTAATTGGATCAAAATGATACAAGGCCTGAGACAGTTTTCCATGAAAGGGCTACAGGTGCAAATAGTTTTAGCTCCTTCCGAAAGGGAAATCCAATTAAATAGCCTACAAGTGGGGGAAAGTGGGATTGGACTCACTGCTGCTGATATGAATAGATCACCAGCATCCCTTTCTGCAAAAAGATATACTGTGCCTGGATCACTGTAAAGAGGTCTTCCTCGATGTGCCTAAGAGCCATAAGAAGTTTCCTTACAAGGAGATAAAATCCAATTCAAAATCACTTTGCAGCATCTCTTGAGCTTACCTACACAAACCTGCTTGGAGACCAGATCCATTCCCACTGAGGTTGCTGCCTCTGAAGGGCCTAAGAAGAAAAGCAAGCTGCCTTTCCAACCCAATGGCTGGGTTCTCCAAATCAAACCACCCACCTTCAATAGTGTGACAATCCTAGCTGCCTTCGCACATGCTGGGAGCCCATGTTTACAAGCTTAAAGCATTGTGGAAATTGAAAAGGAAAGTTCATTATATAGCAAAAATTATGCTCAAGTATTTTTAACTTGCTAATCTGGAGCCCAACATTCCTTTCTGGGGTGGTGCATGCTGGGATTTGTAGTTCAACATTCTATGGAAATTTCCAAGCTGGGAAAACACCCTGAAATTTCTCAGTCTGGATTTCAAGAATACAGTGCAAACCTTTATTCTTGTAGTTCCAAATTCTTTGGTGCTCAGCCTTTCTTATGGTCCCGCTTTCACAGCCATACATTGCACTGGGAAAACCAGGGCCTTGACTATATGCACTTTTGTTGGCAGAGTGATGTCTCTGCTTTTTAGTATGCTGTCTAGATTTGCAATAGCTTTCCTCCCCAGGAGGAAAAAAAAATCTGAAGAAACTTGAGATTGCAAGTCTTCCAGTTATGAAGTGTGAATTCAGTTCTAAGTGTCACATCCACCTTCCTGAAAACTAATTCAAATTGCAACACTTTAGTTATCTTCTTTGAACATGCTTAGCTAGGATTCAATGGAATCATGTTTTTCTCAACTAAATTTTTGGGATTCCCACACATATACTTACAGCTAGGTGGCAGCATCTAGATAACCTTGGCTGATCAGGAAAAAGCTAAATCAAGTTATACTTAGTTAGCTACTGTATTTAGAAGGGAGAGCATTGGAAATCTGAGTGCAGTACGAAGTTACAATCTCAGAAGAAGGCAAAGATGAAGCATTTCCATACCATTACAGAACATAAACACATCCAAGTAGTCATCAGGAGATGAACTGGACTGAGGGAAGCCCATCTTTTTATAACCCAATGAACCCTAAAATCACATGGATTGAGTTTGCATCATGGGTGTCAAACTTGCAATGTCATGTGACATGTGGCAACTTATCTTGACTTTTTTCCCATTGCTGGCCATGGGGTGGGCACAGTTTTGGCATGATGCACCCGCCTGATGGCCAGCAATTTGACACCTGTGGCCTTTGCATCATCCATGAATGTTGTAGTTAAGGAAGATGCAATTCTGGTTGTGATTAAAACACAAGTCACTACAAGGCACTAGGGAAAGTATCAAGTCTGGCTGATTTTCAGTTGTGCTTTTAAACTTCTGTTTTAATTAGGTTGAGGATATGAGGCTAAATCCATAATCAGTCTATGTAAATATGTCTTTTTGACATTCTTTCTGGCTGTGGAAACAGGTATTTCTTCCAGCAGGCAATCAAAACATTTCCAGATCTGGGTTTAACAGATTAATATAAATCCTGCCCTCCCAGCTGATTTGTTGTATTTTACTTTAAAATTGCTGCAATCCAGAAAATCTGCCCATCCTACTTCTGGAAATGTCTTCTTGTGAAGCATCTCACTGGTCTACCAGTAGCCAAGGAGTTTATCCCCCGCTAGAAATGTTTCAAACCTTGTTTGAAAAGATACAGCCTCCCTGCAAAGCCCACCCTTTGCTTTCCTAGCCAGCCAGCCTACCAGCCACTGCTTGTGATGGAGACAGATCAAATCTAAGAGTTGATTCCGTGGCCCTTTGCCCCGCCCCTGCCGAGGTTTTCCGCTTGCCAAGTTGATCATACGCTTAATTAATACTAACTGCACTTCCTACATCACATTTCGCCTCCAAGCTTTCTTCAATTGCCTTAATGATGGCCATTTACAACGGAGTAATTAGTGCAAAGAAAGGCTTCCAAGGACATTAATTATCCAGAGCTACTGGAATGGTTTTTTGAACAGGAATCCGCCGTCTTTAGAGTGCAGCACGTGGGATATTCTCCCTCTCCCCACTGCCACCCTCAGTCACCAATATGCGACCGAGTAGCCAAATTAAAATTAATAAAAAAGCGTTTTTGAGGAATCCTGAAACTTTTTAAACAGGAGCTTTTCTTTTTCTCTCCGTGGTTCTCCTCTACTCTTTCTGCCTAAAAATCAGCAGCACCACCCCTTGTTTTCCTTAAGAGGTTCTCGAAATGTTCTTCCCAGCATAAAAACAAACAAAATAAAATTCCCAGTCGACTCTAAACTATCTTCCTTCGTCTCCATTGGGAAACAATGGCTTTTCGTAGGCGTGTCTTCAGACTAACAGCTTTAATCAATTTCAGGCGGAGAGTTTCGGATTTAACTGGATTTTGTTTTGACCCAGAGCAAAACGAATCTCCCTTGAAATGAAAACTCCAACCATAACCGCCATCAACCACAGCTTTGACATAAAAATAAGTGATAATATCCACCAAGATAAATTCTTGATCTTAAAAAGCCAGGTCAATTAATCGGCAATTATTGAAAAAGTCTCTCTAATTTGTTTACATGGTTTTTAAAAAAGACGGATATGCATTTAGGACGTTGGGGAAAAGGAGCTTTTAGCTTCCTAGGCCGAGGAGGAAAAGTAGCTAAATTCTAGAGGTTTGGCGTGAAAAGAAGCGGGTCCTTCCTTTTTCTGCACCCAAGAGCAACCTGATTTTCTCTGCTTCGGGTAAGAAGTCTGACACCACTCACAAAGGTGGATCCTCTGCCAAGTGCGGATCTATAGACAGACAGGTCTTCTTAGCGAAACCTCCTTAATACCTTACTAAACCTCTCTGACTCTCCGGCCGTGAGCCCCGCTCTTGCCCTCGGTCCCGTCCACTTAAGCCCAGGGGTCTGCCAGCTCAACATGGCAGAACGCCCCTTCCCTTTTCAGCTCCGGAAGAGGCGAAGGAGAAAGTGAGTAGGAGACATGGAAGTGATGAATTAGCCCAAGCGCAGAGTCTTTATAAATCAGCCCGGGTGTGATTCCCGATCAATTCCAACTAGTCATGAATATGCTAAGTAAAGCGCAGGACAGTGTTTTAGACAGTTATTTCTTCATTAAGGATCACTCAGTGATTTCTTTCACAAATGCCTTAATCTGATTTCCTTTTGATTTCCATTAGAGACAGTGAATAATGACATTTAATTTAGCCCTGCGCCATAAAACCCAAAGTTATTTGCTCGTAATTGAATTACTGCCTACCCTTCACTACAGTCTCATAACTTTCAATTATAACACTGACAGCTGGGCGATATGAGTTGCTGGTACAACACTAAAAATAAAAGGTTAATAAGGAGTAGCTACCGTAGGAGCTCCAATTTATTTGCAGCAGATTTCCACACTAAATTGAAACTAGATCCTTTAACAACAAGGGACAGGCGCTATTGACTGGGATTAGAAGAGAATTCTGGAAATACTAAAATATCTGTTTTGGAATGGAAGAGGGGCTGGGGGTCTGCCTAGTCTCTTCCGTTCCTTCCTTTTACCAAACAAGAATAAGATCTTGATCTACTCCTATCAGGCACATCAAACCTTGTTCATGCTTTAATTAAGGGCTGTCGTTTTTCTCGGAGGCCCGTTCTCTTTTAAATATTTCTTTTCTATCAGGCTGATCTCTTTCGGAGTATATGGCCTTTATGGGTTTCGTGTGAAAGAGTGGTCAATTTTGCCTCGAGGAGGGAAACGGTTAAGGGGAGCGGAGAACTTCAAAAACCTGCAAACACTTGGAACGCCAATTTTCCTGTAACTATGAATATCCTGTTAGGGTGCTGGATTAACCCCAGTAATAAACTGTTTTAAAAGAGTGCAGAATTCAATTACAAGTAATTTATTTTTAGAGAAATGCTACAAATAATTTATTTTAATGGAAACTTTATATCAAAGCCCTCTACAGGAACCTTTCTCTTGTAAGGAACTGGAAAACATGACGTAAAAGTTATGTCGCCTTCAGCCAAAATTTAATCTCTTAATTCATTTATTGTAGCCGATTATATGGGGAGAACTGAAATCACTGCAACCTTCTTGGTCATTTTCCCTATTGTTTCTTTTCCAAAATCGGCAAATGTATATGAAATATTCCCATTACTTGTCATAAAAAAGAAAAAGAATAAGTATCAATTATTTGGAGGGGGAAATTACAACGGAAACGATTATTGATTACAATCTAAACAACAATTTTGTTTCCCCAGGAGTATATGCTGGTCTCTAGAGATCTAACTCTGGCTATTAGCTTAGAACATACTCAATAATATTAAATCCAGGAGGAAGTCGATCTGATGGAAACTAAGTCTGAGTCTGAAATCAGAGCATCTCGTTGAGATTCTCCTAAGGATGTCTTTCTCCCTCATCTCATAAAATAGGCAAGGAAAATCTGTTTTGTGAAAGAACGGTAAACTCCCTGGAGTAATTTTTCTTCACCTGCTTTTGACTTTAAAACCTTGTGCTATAATCCCACAAGATAATTTTATCAAAATCCCTTTCCTTACTTAATATCTGACCGATATTAAGTATCATTGTTAATGCAACACCGTTAGAAATACTGACATTACTTTAGCTTTGGAGTCCATTTGTTCATCAAAGGTGGCCAGTAGCTTTTAATAAAACCCTAGGCTTAACAGTTTGAAGAACTGAAGTCCAGATAGCTAGTAGGTCTAATTACTAGTAAGTGATTACAAGTTGGGCTGTTGGTTTGATCTCCGAGCTTGGCGATTTGGCTGCAAACGTTTCATCTCCATTGGGGGGGGACGCCTTCAGTGCGCTTTGAGTTGTGCTCTGACAGAGGAAACATTTGCAGCCAAATCGCCAAGCTCGGAGATCAATCCAACAGCTCAACTACCAACCCAAACTACTAATATTCAAACACACTCAACCAGTGATTACAAGTATTTGTATCTTTTTGCTGCCCTAATATGGCAACCCCAGAGATGAATAGATGGGTGAAAAGAGACAGGGAGAAGATGATAGGAGATATAGAGATGCACACAGGTCACAGATGCCTTGGCGAATTATCAGTACATAATTCAAACCTATTCTTAAGGATTTAGAGACGTTATATTTTAAGGGGCATCAGGGAGAGAAGAGCAGATGGGGCCCTATGAATTCATGCTCTTGTTATGCAAGTCAAACAGAGGCACATCCCCCCCCCCCCGCTCTGGATTATCTACTCCCTAAGCACCCAGCTTTTTCTATAGCCGTTATCCCCGCCTCATCACAGAGTGCAACAAAAACAAAAGAAAAAAGCGAAAGGTTCTTCGCTCCTGGCTGGATCTATTAAATCAAGCAGCTGATTGGTTGGAAGTGGGATCAAGAGAGGCCGAGCGTTCGGTGGAAACGAAAGGCTCCGAGGGGGCAAGCAACCGACCACAGTAGTCCAAGCTACAATCCTCTCCCCAGCTTCCAGGACGCGTTTACCTGATATTGTTCGATAAGGAAACCAACCTCTGAATTAAATGTCCAGAACAGAGGACGGACGATCTCTCTTCCTCCTTACCTGCACCCTAGCTTCAGACAGCCCAAGCCTTTGGCTCAGCTCCTCCCTCATGAAAGCATCCGGATAGTGCGTCTCGTCGAATAGCCTCTCCAGCTCGTTCAGTTGTTCCAGGGTGAAATTCGTTCTGCTTCTCCGCTGTTTCAACTTAGTTTGACCGTCCTCGTCCTCAGATTTCACCTCCTCTCTCTTGTCTTTGCATTCATAGATCCCTAGGGTGGGGAGACGAAGAAAAGGAGAAAGGAAAAACATCAGAGCTGAGTATCGGAAGCCTCTTCCAAAGAGGGAGAAATTTTCCTAACTAATCGAACAGGCTATTGACCCCGCGAGCCCAGAATAGGAAAAGATGAGAGAGTAACTCAAATAGGGTTTGGTCAATATTTGTTAAGGAGTCTAAGGGATGATTTAAGCAAACTTCTTCTCTCGCAAAGATACTTCCAGGGTCTCGTGGGATTTCTTTCCTTTGATAGGAGACCTGATGGTGATCTGCAGACAGATTCGCTGAGCAACAGGGATGCCTTAATCTTGCCATCTGCCTGTTTTAAAAGTCACTATTTCCAATTCTTTCTTGTGGGCAATTCAAAAGACTGAATCAACTCCACCAGTCGAAGTGTTATAATGTTAGCTCTGGTATTCGATGTAGAATTAACTCAAATCTCGATAATCAGAACACAGTCTGCCCTTCATGATACTGTAAACAATTCAGGGAACAGGTAACAAGAAATCAATTTAAGCCCCATCCCTTATTATAAGCGGTGCATTTTCTCCATACATACATGAGTTTGTTGCCTATTAACTTTATAGACAGGTCCATGTAATAGCATTCTTAGCAAACATGTGGAAGTGGTCTGCAGAAAGTTTTCAACTTTATCGTTTAGTCTACAGACAGAGATGGTGTCTTATCCAAGTACTAAGTGTTCTTAAGCTTGGTTTTGTGTTAAGACCGGTCCAGTTCTGCTAGATAAGAGAAATGGGCTAGCAGAGGCTCAGCAAAAGCTTAGAGATGGACAGACCTTCGTATCAGAGTTAAAAGCTGTTCCATACCGTCAGCTTAAGTGAGACTTGGGAGGGGGGATGTTAAAAGAACATAAAATGAAGAGCGGACCACGTCTTCATTCAGGAAGAGGTGATGGGAAATGTCCTTAACTTGCTCTTATATGCTTGAAACCTGGAAGGCGGGGGGGGGGGGATCCTCCTCTTAACCACTTTGTACAAATGTTAACAGATCCCAAGGATTTCACTCTACTTGTGTCCCCTCTCCAGAGCTATTGGCTATGAGAAAGAATCCTCGCTAGACACCAAAGGGCTTGCTACCATGAGAAACACACCAGCACACGCATAGCCCACCCGACCTCAGGGAGCTAACCGTAGGAGGAACAGGGAAGGGCGCAGGAGAATTTTAGCCGGATCCGCGAGGAGAGAGGAGAGAGTCCTTTTTTCCAAATTCGGGAAGAAAGAAAAAATGTGTGGGCATAAGTTGGCAAGCTAGAAAGAAAAGTAATCGCCCAAGGCCCTGTTGTTGGTAAGAAGGCACCCTGTAAGGCCCGGCCAAGGAGGAATGGGGCAGGTTCGGGACAGGAGTATGAAAGGTGGCTGGTGGAACAGAGCCCTCTGCCCTGGTTCTGTCTTGGAGAAAGCAGCGGTCTCCGAAGGCTTAAGGAGAGGGACTTCCGCCTTGATTTTGAGGGGCTGCTCTGGAAAGCTCAGGATTAGGTTCCCAGGTTCAAAAATCACCATTTTTAGAAAAGGAGTGTGATTGAGCCCTGTTGGCTCCCTTTTCTAGCAAAAGTTTTCTCTTGGCACGTGCAGCAAAAGAAGCTCCCGAATTTCTCTTTTAGCTGGCACAAAAGATGTGTTCCTTAAAGATGGATTTCCATAATTGCACCCTTAAAAAATGGCTGCAATGGAAACCGGCTGCTCATTTCCTTTAACTTCCGCCCCCCTACTCAATGAAATCAGTTCACTATACTGTAAAGTTAAAATTCGGAGATTACTCATTTTAGGAGACACACTGAAAAGTCATTTCGAAGAGGATTTAACTGTTGCAGCCCAAGAAAATTGTAGCGGAGATTTTTTTAGAGCTTTAGCCTACTTGAATTCCCAGTCCAAGTCTCCCAAGGAGCATAAAAGCGGCGGGGGAGGGGAGCCCATAGTATTGAATTAGAGACTGTAGTTAGATTTTTTTTACACCACCTGATCAAAGCTATAGAAATCTAAGCAACTATGGTCCCGAATACTCGATTCTTTTTAAACCCGTCAAGTCTCGATCCAGGGACTTTTATCGAGTTTTGTGGCACCGACTTCCAGCCCAGAGTTTCCCCATTTTCCACCCAGCTGCCCTTCCTTACAAGCACATTTTGGGTGTTTTATCCACGATATTTATTATGCCGCTGGATAGGGGAGATTTGGATATTGTGGATAAACAGCACGTTTGGTAAACATTAGAAAATCATTTTTCTATATAAAGATTAGATAGATAGATAGATAGATAGATAGATAGATAGATAGATAGATAGATAGATAGATAGATAGATAGACAATAGATATTTGTATATAGTACATTTTCAAGATGTGATATACAGACTACATGGATTCATGCATTTTGGGAGGTTATGCATACATGCATGTTGTAAAACTATTTAATCTTTACAGTGTTTTCTAAATAATACGGGTGCTTGGGTTTATTAGCGCCTGAGTATCCTAGATAATCGTTATAACTTTGTATTCAGTCATTCTTGAACTGATAAACAGATAGCTAGAGATCGATCGATCTTAAAATCATTACAGTAACCTCTGGAAATATAAATTATCACTTCATCCTAAAGCCAATCTTTTTTAGATCACAACAGATCTAATAAATAAAAAGCATAAGGCAAGTCCAGCTGATACTACATGAGACTTTAGTGAAAGGGTCTTTCTGACAATGATTGAACATCTGTATATCTGAACCCATTTAGAACAGAAGAACCCCCTAAAATACAGTTAGTTGGATTAACGAATTACAGTTTTTAAAGGAGTGGTCCTTCCCTTCCCTGCTCAGCTTAAACAGTCACCACCGAAACTGCCAGGAGCCAGCGATGCTTCCGTTTTGAACCTAAGAGATACTTGGATTTAATTCTATCGGGTTTGCCCAGGAGCAGAAGTGGCATGAAACTCCCTCTAAGTGGCCAAAGAAATGCTTGCTTAACTTCCTATATTGTTTTTTTTTCCCCTTTTCTCTGGACCGTATTTATAGTGTCCTATACTGTAGCCCTAACTGAAAAAAGGGGATCCTTATTCAGTTCGGCAAACCCTTAAAGGCCAGAACCAAAAGCAGTGCAGTATTCAGGTGAAAGGCTTGCAGAATATCCTAAGCAAGCGGATTCTTATTCCCTTTGCTTGACAAGCCTCCGGCCAATTCATCTTGAGCTTGTTAGCTCTTCCCCACCCCAAAGGTCCACATACATACATACATACATACATACATACATACACACACACACACACACACACACACACAAACCTTCCCACATCTCCTAACTAAAATAATTCTAGCTATTCCGCCGAGATTAGCCCTAGAACCAATTCTGCCCAATGCTTCGATTTTAAGTTGGCCGCGAAGGAAAACGGGCCGCGTGGTAGCCGATGAAGAAAGCTCTTTCCTTCTATTGTTTAAATTCACCTAAAGAAAGGAAAGAGGACCCGGGACTGCTGAAGTTTGAGATTCGTTTTCCTATTTGAATGCTCTTCGCTGCTGCTGTTTCAGCTGCTATCACCACCACCACCACCACCACCACCACCTCTACTCTTGTTATTACCACCCCCTTCGTCCCCATCTCTATTCTACAGTTTCGTCAAAGCGGAACCCGGGGGAAGCAGGGGACGGCCCAAGACGGCAGGGGGTGACAGATTCCTCTTTACCTTCCGAGGTCCTGTTGGCGTGGTTGAAGTCCTTGAGCTTGTCCTTGTCGCTCTCCCCAGGCTCTTTGAAAAGGTGAATCGGGCAGTGGGGGCCGCCCTCGGCCAGCTCCTGCAGGCCAGTGGCATCGGAGCCGCCCAACTCCCGAGTCCGCGCCAGCCCGCTCTCCAAAACTTCCCGGTACGTAATGGACTCCTTCTTGTGGCCGCCACCGCCTCCACCGCCTCCACCGCCTCCACCGCCGCTGCTCTCTTTGCTTTTCTGGTCAAAAGATTTGGACACAAACGCCGTAAGTTCTTCCATGGCGACCCGGCCGCGAAGGGGGAGAAGCCGGGCCCTGAAAAAACCCGCCGCCTCCAAACCGCCAGGCCAGTTTGTTCCACCGCCAGGGATCCTGCTCTTGGGCTTTGCGCTACTTGTCGGATGCGGCTCCGCTCTGGAGTCCTGGTCGTGGGGTCCAGGCTGGGGAGGGAGGGGTGTAGAAGCGCGCACGCGCTCCCGCCTATGTGTGAATGTATGGATGAGCGGGCACGCGCTCAGATACCCCTTGCCCAGGAGCTCTACAAACAGAAGAGGCTGAATCGGGGTTAGATCAGTCCCGCTATTATTTATGCCTTTTAATTTGAGATCCCACTATTTATACTGAGCTACTTCAGCCCCCCCCCCCAGCTTTCGCTGTCTCCAGCAATTACTGCCTCTTTCCCAGACGCCGAAGAACGTTTTCCCCCTCCTCGGGCCAGCAATTGGCTTGTTTTACGTTTCATCACGCGCTGGCGTCCGCAGCACCTTGATTTCGGGAACCAAAGAGCAGAAAGAGGCGGAGGGAGAAAGCCAATGAGCCCCTCCCTCCCAGCCCCCTCCCCACAGGTACCTCTTGGCCGGCGTGGTTTGCCAAGGTTTGCAGGAACTCAGCCGATGAGGGGAGTGTGTGGGGGACAAAAGTCGAAGAAGCCTTTACTGCCTGCTCGCGAGTGCTTGTGGACTTATTATAGGAGGCGGACAAGCGGGCCGGGGAGGAGAAGCCAGAGAGAAATAAGCTGATGGTTCAATCCAAAGGTAAATCCGGTCCAGCTGGAGAGCTCAGTATTTTTTTTATGAGTGTTGGATTTTTCTTGATTTTTGTCGCCCTTCCCTTCCCTAAATTCTCAATTTGGGGTAGTTTCGCTGTGGGCCCCCCGCAGACTTTCGGTGGCGAGACCCACAGCGTTTATTTCTTTTGCCGCTCTGTTACAAGTTAGGCCAGGACACACACACACACACACACACACACAGAGAGAGAGAGAGAGAGAGAGGGGGGAGAGAGAGAGAGAGAGAGAGAGAGCCCTCAGGTATCAAAAGGGAGGGGGCGGGATCCAAGAGAAAAAGAGCCCATCAGCTTCCATTCTCACCTGACAAACTGCAGGCTTGTTTGCCCTTGCAGGCAATGCAACCCTGTGTTCCGTAACCGCCTGAAGATGGGCGAGTTTCTGGAGGAAAAAATGCTTCTGGGGGCTGCGGGTTTCACCAAGCAAAGGCCTGCTCCAGAAAACCTAACGGCCCCTTGCGGGTCTTGCATCGCAACCCCGTGCCCCAAAGCCAATATCGCTGAGATCCGGGAAATTTTTAGGCAAAAGCGGATCTCAGAAGGCAACCTGCATTTTCGGGGCCCCGCAAGGCTTTCCCTTGAGCTTTCTTATTGCGGCCCCTCAATCTGCCAGAGCAACACCCGAGGCGATTGAATCGACCCCCCCCCCTTGTAGATCGAAGCGGTGTCTACAAATCGCCCCAGGGAAGGAGGGAGATTCGTCTAAGCGGGGATGAGAGGTTTGCCCAGACCGAAGGCAGCAAAGCTCCGCGCTGGCTGACGGACTGCCCCCCTTTCCCTCCGGTTAAGGCTGAGTTCACACCAGCGCTTGTACTTAAAAGTGAACTCCCTTCGAATCAAGGTGTGGCCGTAGGGGTCAGGGGCTGGCAGAACGTTCCTACAGACTCCCCCAGTCTCACTCTGAGATCGCATCAGAGCAGATCCGGTGTCAGCGGAGTTTGAAAGACAATTCTCCGATTTTGCGTTCCGCTGTACCCCTTCAAGGGTTACTCCAGCCCCTGGGGGAAAGCGCCTCTTCGGGGTTTTTGTCTGCAAGGTCACGTTCTCGCTTCCCTCTTGTTTCTCTCTGTGCATGCGCTCTCGAAGTGCCCAGACTTAAATCCACACACACAATTTTGCTCCCGAGTTCAGTGAATCTTTTGAGTGCTGTAAATGATTCTGCAAAACTAAGTATACACGTTCTCTGCACTTTTAGGAGTGAGTCTCCTTTAGTGTAGAGGGCTTCCCCTCCCTTTTCTTTCCTGTCCCCCCCCCCTTTTCTCTGAAGGCCTTTTTTTTAATTAATCCGCTGATACCCACAACAGCAGCAGTCTTGGCATTTCCACCAAGGGAGAAGAGAGGAGGGAGAAAAAGAAGAGGAAACAATAAAAGCGCTTTTAAAAAAGGAGATCCATTCCGGCGAGAATTTTAAAAAATTATCTGGAGGAACTAGGGTTGGCCGTTTGATCTCGGTATAGCCGGCGGATCTCCGGACGTTTCCGAGGGGCCTCGCCTGCTTCAGGAGTACAAGGAGGGTTCGGTCAATGAAGACCGCCAATCGAGGACAGCGCCAATCGAGCGCCAGTAAACCAAGCGGCTTGGAAAGCCTAAAGGCAGCACCGGATGAGAAAGCGCTTCTAAAGCAGACATTTCGGAGAAGTTACCGGGCCTATGTGAAGCCTGTTGTCTGATCAGATCTGGCTTTTTTCCTCACCACCTCACTTTACCACCACCGCCACCCTTCTCAATAGTCTAGTGACTTCCTTTGTATCTCTTGGAGGAAACTCGGGGCACATTGTGATTATCTCACTTTAGGCCGTGCAACAACTCTGTCGGATTGGTCAGAAACAGAGAAATCGACCCGCAGGGTTTGCTTGGATACAAGAGGAAGGAATTAATCGCATCGCAGGTTTCACACAGTTCCAGCACCTGAGACAGGGAAGTTCAAATTTAGACAGAATAAAAGCAACCCCGCCAGTGAATTAAGACCTCTAGGCAAGTATTCTGAAGTAAACCACCTGAGCAGCCACTAAAAAAGCCAGAGGTGATCAGAAATGTAGATTGCCCTTGGACCTGGCCCGTGGTTCTTTGGGGATAGCAGTGATTTCAGAAAGCGAGCATCAAACAGAGAAGCCATTTTCTGGCCCCAAATGTTATGCAGTCAATCTTGGCTTGTTTTCTGGGTACTTGTTTGAGGAACAGTTCCTAGGATATTTTTTCTGTTTTCTTTCTTGCACGGCTGGTTCTCATCTTTGCTATATATTTTTGTTTTGTCTCTACAGACACCACCAGAAGGAATCTGAAATCCTCAATCCAGAGATGGGTTAGGCCACAACTTCCATCATCCCTATCCCCCTATCCCTCTATTTGGCTCCGAGGGACCGTCCAACCCAGCTGAACAGCACCAAATTGGGAAATGCTGGACCTCAGTGAGGTATTAACCTTCTCACCAATAGGGGGGAGAGTTTCTTCCTCTTGTCTTTCCGCACACCCTCCTAAATCATCTTTCCCGCCACTCGCATTCTTGCAAGTGCAGTTGCGATCTTTTCCCGACCCTTTCAAATACTACAACCCTGCACCCAAGGAATAAAGTCAAGTGCTTATTCGCTTCCAATCTTGGGTCTTGGCAAGATATGCAGATGTGATCTCCCGACGCCTGGATTTCTTTCCCTCTGTACCCTAGGCGTGTTTGAAAAGTTTAAACAGCCTTGGCAATCTTCTGACGAAGTCTGTTTCAAACGAATGGGGGGGGGGACAATTTCCTAACTAAATTCCAAATTAATGAATTCCCCATGTTAAACCGAATCAATTACATGAAAAGGATAAACCCCATGCTAACATTAGTACAGAGTGTATACTTTATATTTCTTGCTAAAACTCTGCTACGATGTTTAACCGCTTTCTTAACCATCCAGATAGATCCTATTTGTTTATTTGTTTAAGAGTTTACTTAGGGTCATCAGAAAAGGGGGAAGGGCAAGCATCAAAGAAATGTGCTCCGAGATGTACCTGAAAATGTCCCTTCATTCCTTCTCAGCAATAATGTCTGTGTCCCCACCAATTGCCCTGCCCGCCCACCCGATTGGACAAGACGCTTTAACCTCGGATTCCGTGCAGACATGGGTGCTTAGAAAATGACCTTACACTGTATGCTTGACAGAGGCCATTTTTTCTTGGTAGATGGGAGTTGTTTAAACTGTTTTTTTGAGAGAGAGAAAGGGAGTGAGTGAGTGAGTGTGTGTGTGTGTGTAAGAGAGAGAGAGAGAGAGAGAGAGAGGGAGGGAGGGAGGGAGGGAGGGAGAGAGAGAGAGAGAGCGCATTTCTGTTTTGGACATTTTCGGATCCTAGAGAGCAGAGGGATTCTGCCATTCCCAATTATGCAGTAATCTCAAAGCGGGGCTGAAACCATGAAGCCAAACCACTGTCATATTTTTGCTCCTGACGTTTTTACGATATCCCATGTCAACGACAGGTTCGCCTATATTCAACACAAATGCGAATTCGTTCGGAGCAGTTGACGAATTAAGCTAAGGTAGAGCGAGAAAGAAGGGGGCACAAAAGAAAAGTTTTTTTTTAATGCCCAAACTTTTGCTTTTCAAGAGGACCGGTTTGGAAACTGTGATCTTAATCGCCAAGTAGGAGGAGCGGACTTTCTCCGCGTCTCCTATTTCGCGTGGTCCAGACTGGATGAAATCCCTGAATCCACCTTTGGGTCCCTTTGCTTTGCCTAGGCTATATCCCTGGAGTGGGGATGGGAGCTTTTCCTACTCAAGAAAGAAAAGGAATAGCTGTTCGCAGGCGCTCTTTTCCCGCGATCTGTCCTTGGAGAATCATTACCTCTTATGGGGGCGCCCCGGTAGACTCAGATCTGGAAACAGACCAACTTAACGAGTTTGCTAACTAGTCGGTGCAGGGGGGGGGGAGGTTGGAGGTGGGTAGGTTAAGTCCTGATTTTGTCTATTTCCCTCTGAAATCGAATCAACCGGTTCTCGGAGAAACGCGATCCTCCATCTGCCTTGTTCCGCTACGATTTGAAACAATCTCTGCTTGCCTTCCTGACCTGTTAAAGATGGATTTAAAGATGGATTCTCCCTCCCACTATTATTCTTAATCTCTATTTTTGAAAAAGCATCAACGGGGCGATAACAAAATATGAATTCCTAACATTTTAACGAATCCCTGATGCTTTGTGAAGAAGAATGGGGGCCTCAATAGGCAGGCACACACTGAGGCATCTGCACAGAAGCTGCACCTTCCTGTAGCTGTCCTGCTTTCCTGGTGGCTTCTCTGCCCCTAGATGGCGACCTCTTCCTTTGTAGGGTTTCTCGGGTGAGGAAGGACTTGACCTTGGCTTGGCACCTCGGATCTCTGGCCTGTTTCCCCTCGCCTCCAAAAGTCCCTAGTCCTTAGCCGCGGCTTCCCGGATCAGACATTTGGCAGTGTGCATAGGAGGAGGATCGATAGGCCTCTTGTAAGGGCAGGAATGGTGTGTGGTTATGTGTGTCACCCTCCAGGCTAAAATCTCGTTTCCCTGGGAGCGTCCTCCCCAAAAAAAGCCGGTTCAATCCGCACCTC